TCCATGACATGAGTACCCCGTGGGACGAGGGGACGCCTCATCTCAGAGCAAAGTGCACACCCGGCCCAGGGACAAAGAAGCTAAGGGAGACCTGGTTGTTGCTGGGGCGGCCGCAGGCCTGGCCACTACCCACCCCAGCAGGCCAGCAGGCCAGCAGGACGTGAGAGCTGCAGCAGCTGGAGGGCCTGCCCCGCCTCCGAGCATAAAAGGAAGGTTCCTGTGCTTCACCTCTGCCTCCCAAATGGCATGGTCCCTGCCACCCCTGAACAGCGTGGGGGTTCCATCGCAGCCCACCAGACCACCCTTCCACAGTGCAGCGGTGCCCAGCCTGGGGCCAGTCCTGGCACACCGACAGCAAGCCCGCGGTCTTCAGCCCGCACGGTGCTCCCTCACACAGCCAGGGCCGGGAGCATTCCCCAGGCGAAACACACCTGCAGCCTCCAAGGCAGAGGGAGGTTGCCCTAGACCATTTGTGCTGCTATAACAGAATACCTGAGACCGGGTAATGTGTAAATAACAGAAATTCCCTCTCACAGTTCTGGAGGCTGGAAAGTTCAAGATCAAGCATCTGCCAGTTTCCCTGTGTGGCGAGGGCTGCTCTCTTTCTTCCAAGGCGGTGCCTTTTTGCTGCCTCCTCTATAGCGGAAGGCAGAACGGCAAAAGGGACGAACACTGCGTCCTCCCACGGCAGGGATGCAGGGAGTGAACCCGCTACTTCAAGCCTTATTTTAAGGGCCCGAATCCACCCATGAGAGCTTGGCCCTCATGCACTTGATCACCCCTTGATGTCTACATCTCTTCATACTATCACATTGGCAATTAAGTTTCAACATATAAATCTGGGGACACATTCAGACCATAGTACAGGCCAAGCTCTGTTAATTTAGCCACCTAAATAAGTCAATTCAGATCTTCATTCTTAAAAATGAACAGACAACAAAGAATTCCTGGACAATTGGGAGAATTGTCCATAAGGAAAGAGAAGAACAGCTGACCATGAAGAAAACTTTGATAATGTGAGGAACAGAAGAGAATGTCATGGAAATTCTAACTCATTTCCTTAGACATCAGAGAAGGTATTGAAGCCATACAAAGAACCAACCACTATTTAAAATATTAAGCCTTTAAGGGCATGTGTGCTGATGTCTGCAGTCAGAACGTGCTTTTAAAAATGAGATGAATTAATGGCTGGCTGCACAGATGGCCAGAGGAACAGATGTGATAAAGCAAGTGTGACAACATGCTAGGGGTGGAATTAGCGTTGTCCAAGTGCTAACCCTCCGATCCTTGCAACATTCTGTTTGGAAATTTTCATAGTAAAATGTTGGGGAGGGAGGGATAAGCGATTAGGAGAATGGGAGAAGAGATGACAGCAGTTAAAAAAGTTTCAACAACATTTTGTGGTTCTGACTTAGCAGGCCCCAGGGAGCTAAGAGGCTGCAGGGCAGAAGTCAGGCACAAAGATGGTCTTGCACAGCACCCAGGGAAGGCTCAGGAACTGGAGCCTATGATGGTGGAGGTGAGGTGGAGACCAAAAAGGGGGAACAGGATGGAAATCTATGCAGCCATACACTTCCTTGTCCACCCCTTATCTTGTACAGCCAAGTGTGGGCTGTTGCTTTCTGTCCTCAAAGATGTCAGGGACAAGGGAGAACAGGGACAGGGGTCTGGAAGGAAAAGTCTATCTCAGTGGACAAAGAAACCCTCTAGGCCCAGCCCCAACTCAGCCTGAGGACGGGGTGGCCAGGCTAATCCCCACTCCCACTACCGTCTCCAGAAAGGAGATCAGAGAGCTGTTTCCCAGGGAAAAGTTCAGTCAGGGAGAGAAGACTTATTGATACAGAAGGTCAAGGTCCCAAAGAATTACGTGGTCCCTATTCAAGCACTCTGCAGTGGTGTTAGCAATGACCAAGCGGTCATCAGTGGCTCCTGCTTGGTTTTGCGTGTGCAGCCTCAGGTCACCATGAAGGAAACCTCATAGCTGAAAGGGAGAAACAAACCAATCCATTCAGAAGAAATACAGAAAACCAGAGAACTAAAAAATTTCCCAAAAACTAAAATCAAGATCCTCAGAGGAAAGAGATACTACTGTTTCCATGAAATAAAAGTAAGATACTGTAAATAAGAAAACTTTTGAGAACAACAACAAAAAATCCTGTTGGACATTAAAATTAGCAGAAATAAGGACATTAATGAAAGTATTAGAAGAAGCGAGGGAATCTAAACATTGAACAAAAAGACCAAAAGACAGATAATAGCTAAGAAATAGGCTAGAAAATTAAAGGATCAATTCATGAAGACCAACATCTGAATGACAGACAGGAGTTACAAAAAGAAAAAAATCAGAGAAAAGGAAATTATTAAAGAATGATGAGACCGGGTGTGGTGGCTCACGCCTGTAATCCTAGCACTGTGGGAGCCTGAGGCGGGCGGATTGCTCGAGGTCAGGAGTTCGAAACCAGCCTGAGCAAGAGTGAGACCCTGTCTCTACTATAAATAGAAAGAAATTAATTGGCAACTTAATATATATATATAGAAAAAAATCAGCCGGGCATGGTGGCGCATGCCTGTAGTCCCAGCTACTTGGGTGGCTGAGGCAGAAGGATTGCTTGAGCCCAGGAGTTTGAGGTTGCTGTGAGCTAGGCTGACGCCACGGCACTCACTCTAGCCTGGGCAACAAAGTGAGATGGAAAGAAAGAAAAAAAGAAGGAAGAAAGGAAGAAGAAGAAAGGAGAGGAGGAAGGAAGGAAGGAGAAGAGAGAGGAGGAGAAGAGAGAAAGAAGAAGAAGAAGAAGAGAAAGAAGAGAAGAAGAAAGAGGGAGGGAGGAGGAGGAGGGAGGGAGGGAGGGAGGAGGAGGGGAGGACGAGGAGGGAGGGAGGGAGGCTGAAAAACCACCCATATCAAGGTGTATCCTGAAACTTCAGAGCACCAGAGACAAAGAGAAGATCCTAAAAGATCCGGAGAGGACAGAGGTCACCAGCCAAGGTCTGAGAGCCCAACTGGGCCAGGCTTCTCCACAGCAGCCTGCTGGAGACAAGCAATGCTGTCCCAGCCCCAGCCTGGGACTGTGCGCCATGGAAACGAGGGCGTCAACCAAGAAAGGCAAGAGGGCGAGTCTAGTCCAACCAGGAGGGGACAGCGTCCTGGCCCTGTCAAGAATGCAGCAAGAAGGCAGTCAGCTCTGAGAAGAAACGGGGTCACGGAAGACCTCGGCGTTATGGTGGAGGTTTGTGCCAAGAAGGAAAATGCATTAGAAATCCCAGGAAGACAAACATGAAAACAGCAAAGCTGTGGTCCAACTATGAAGCAAACCAAGCGGCAGCATGATTTTGGGGAAACTGACGAATGATAAGAACAGAGTCTGCTTGTTCTGGCGTTGGGGGCACTGGTCAGTGGCTCAGGACGCACTCCTTCCCTGGAGTTTCTGTCACACTGCTCATTGTGCAGGGAATGACAGTTGTCAAGTTAATATCATGAAAACACTCTCCTGGGTTGTTCTGTTTTTTTAAATCAATCTATGTGGATTACAATATAGAATATTCAAAATGTAAAAAGTAACACCTTGACAAGGGGCTGACGGGAAAGGGGAGGTGGAACCGGCGGTGGGGGGATTTGTTCTCCTGTTACTTGGCGGGTAACTCTGCAGCCCCCTCGACTGGGACGTGGGGCGCCGGGTCCACATTCTCCCGGGTGTGTCTGTCGCTGTCTCCGGATTAGACGAGGGCCGAGCAGAACAAAAAGGGAAAGAAGAGAGGAGCTGGGCCCTCCCCGGCTGCCTGCTTGACTGGGGCGTGGGTCTTGTGCTCAGACTCGGCCAGTCGCGCCCGCCTCCCAGGTCTCCCGCTGGCAGAGGCAGACGTGGGGCTTCTCGGCCCCACAGCCACGTGAGCCGCCCTCATAACACGTCTCTGTCCAGATAGACGGACAGACAGGGCAGACACATGTCGCCTGCTGGCTCTGCTCCCTGGAGAACGCTGCCACAGTGGGGGTGAAGTGAAACTGCCTATAGCGAGGGGGGAAATAAACCCTCAGGCTGGGCATTTGACAGTATACAGGCAGCAACAAAAACCTAACCCCAGCATGACTGACCCTTGAACAACATGGACTTGAATTGTGTGGGTCCGCTTGTATCTGGATCTTTTTCAACCAAGTGGGGATCAGACATCAGTATTCGCCAGGCGCGGCACCGAGTGCGGAACACGCAGCGTCTGCAGGGCGCGAGTACTCGAGGATTTTGTATTCTGGGGGTCCCGGCATCAGTGCCCATATATTAAAAGGGAACATGAGATGTGGGGCCAAGCAGGTGCTCAATCCTGATTTCTCATCTGTCGTCTAATGCTGACAAATCAGGAAATAGAGATATAAGTACCTCATTTTAGAGTTACAGACATGATTGCCAGAATCAAAAATGGTTTCTCTGGGGGTTGGAATAGGAAGTAGGGAGGGAAATATTTTCTTAAATGTACTTCTATACTGTTAGATATTTTTTACCTGTGCACATGGTATTGTAATAATGGCTTAAAATTATTTTTAAAAGAATGAAGTAGAGCTGCATACATGCATAAAGGGTGCCCCTGAGATTGCAGAGTGACATTTAAACTGTACACTGCCACTTTTAAAATGCACAACAGAGAGATGAGAAGGGAGAGAGAGAGGAGGGAGCGACTCTGAGCAACACCTACGGACCCAGCCAGCCGTTAGAAGACTACACGCATATTCACATGTTCCAGGGGACAGTCCTGGAATAAACAGCATCAAGGCACTAAGACTGCCCCAGACGTGGGAGGAACAAATGTCGTTTTGTTTTCTTCTGTTTCTTTTTTTGACTACTTTTGATATGTTTACATAATAATTTTAAAACATAAATAAACTTCCATGTTGTAGAGTGCTTTCTGTTGAAACTGAGGTCTTTACTAGTGTCTCCTTCTGATTAATATTGTCTTTATACTCTTGTATTTTGCCACAATTATAGAAACTATACCTTTATTTTGGTTAAAACTCAATCTTTGCAAACATACTCTGTTTCAAAATGATTTTGGTTCTGTTGAATAAAGGAATAGTTGAGTGCTTTGCAAGCAAGCACAGAGTGCTGGCCTTGAAGAGGGCTGTCCCGGTCCCTGAGGAAGGATGTGGACATGTGTTTTACTTCTGTCAGCAAGCCCAGAGTTCTCAGAACAGAGTCTTTCATTTAGGCTACTCCATACAATAACTTTTCAAAATCGAATCCTATCCAGACAGGAATGATCGTTGTCCATGGGCGTGTTCTCCTTCAAAGCCACCATATCCTTTACCGTGTCCGAGAACACAGCGAGCAAAGCTCAGTGACGCCAGAGACGAAGGCTGCCTCGTGCCAGATGCCTGAGGGTAACAGACAGAGGAAAGAGAAAGCCGTAGGGGCGTAAGAATGGCAATGGGGCCCTTGCATGTCTCTTTAAAGCGTCCAACTCTTCACACTCTCGAATCCCTGAATGATCAAAGGGGAGTCAGAGTCACTGGGTTCCCCCATCCCAGCTCCAAGGCACCCTCCCTGCCAACAAGGAACGTGGTGGCGGAGGCAGGCGGGCCGGCCTGCAGCTCCCAGGGGGCTCCCTCAGAGCCGGGTCAGCATCGCCACTGTGTCTGGGCACAGCCCTGGCACGCTGCACACAGCACAGCCTCTTACTGCATCCTGGAAGTCATGGAAAGCATTAAAACGTATGTAGAGAGACTCTTATGAAGTTCCAACGCTGGGGTCAAAATCCTTCTCAGAAAGGGCACAGCCAGTGAAGAATAAACACAACCGGCCTGACCCTGTTTTCTCCCCTGTGAAACCAGGCAGCACACCTGCCCTGCACATTTCTGTCAGCAAAGGCAAGCCCTGGTGTTGCTGGGGACAGAACTCAGCCTGCAGGCAGCGCCGGCCCATGGGGAATGCTCCCGGGGTAGTTTCGATATGTTCGACACAGCTCGGTGAAGAACGGGCTCTCCCACCCCGGAGCAGGCCTCTGGTGAAAGTTGAACACACCAACATTTTTAATACATATACTTTCCTTTACTTGTTTGCATTTTTGTAGTTTTCAATGGAGGGATAAGTTACACATATTTGCACACAAAGTTCAGAGCTCAGTGAATTTTGACATAAGCTGTGTGGAGTTCATTCTTTGTCACTGCTGAGTAGCATTCCATTGTGTGAATACACCACGACTTATTTACCATTCTACTACTGATGGACACTTGGACTGTTTCTAGTTTGGAGTCACAACAAATGAAGCCGCCAAGAGCATTCTTGCCTATGTCTTTTGGTGAACATACACACTTAATTTTGTGCATTATACCCAGAAGACAAATTGCTAGGGTATACATCAGATCTATATTTAGCTTTAGTAGTACTGCTCTGTATTTTTCTAAAGCAGCTATACCATTTTATACTCCCACAAACAATGTATGAGAATTCTAGTTGCTCTATGTCCTTGCCAACACTTGTTATTTGCAAATGTTAGACATTCTACTGGGTGGACAATTTTCCATTTACATGTATAATAGCACTAGTTACACTAGAGTGTGTATGGCAGTCTCCTAATAGTCTATTAATATCTACTTTTCCCTTCCTTAACATAAAGGACTTTTCCCTGGTTACACAGTCATGCAGCTAGCAACCATATCTCCAAACCTCCCTTGCATGTGGGTCCATGACTAAGTTCTGGTCCATGCTATGAATCAGGAGTGACATGTGCCACTTCCTGGCCTACAGGATCTATTGATCATGCTCTTCCTCTTTCCATCCAGGTGGAGGATGGCAAAGCTGCCTACCAATCCTGGTCTACCTGCCTACATCTGGAATGTTACATAACAAATAAATAAGCTTCTGTCTGCTTGAACCACTGCAGGTGGTTCTTCATTATGGCAGGAACCCTGCCCCGAAAGGAGCACACTGCTATTGCTCGTTTGCCCTCTGGCTCTAACACACCTGGGCATGTGTTGTTTTTGTCTTCTCAGCACCCATCTGTCCATTAGGGAACCCGGTTCTGTGGTTCTGTGAGCTTTGGGACCATTGCCACAGGCACAGACATGTGGCCCAGGTCTGACCAGGCATGGTTCCTCATCCCTGTCTGGAATTATGGATCCACGGATCCATAATTGGCACGATGTTCAATAGAGGCATCAACATCCTCCCGTGAGGCTTGCAACAGGGAGAGAAAGAGTCTTTGTCATCATGGCAGAGTTTGGCTGCCAGCAGCATTATGGCAGAGAGAATGAAACCAATGCCCAAACAGAGCCAGAGCTAACCAGAGAGAAAGAGGGAAGGACAGAGAGAGGAGGGGAGAGGAAGACCTAGCAATGCCATCTGATGCCCTGGATCTAACTGTACCTGGAGCACCTTTAGATGCAAGTGAGCCAATAATTTGAGCTGAATTTCTGTCACTTGCAACCAAGAGTCCTGTCTCTTTCATTAATGCAATAAACCTGTTTGAGGGCAATTTTATATTTGAATACAAGCACTGTGTGAGATGCTGGGGATACGAAATCCCCTTCTTTAAAAATAGTAATTCTTACTCTGATAGACCTTGGAGGGTCCATCCAGATGGAATGGGTGGGAAGAACAGAATTAATTTTTTACCACTAACCTCTGACTGAAATGAAGCATTTCCTTCAAGTATCTACGTAGGCAACAGACACAGCTATGTTAGCAGTACATGTGGACTTGTTCCCAGTAGAAATCGCAGCAACTCTCACACTGCATCTCATTTGTCACCGACCTTAAAATATCAGGTAGCTTATCACGACTTTGAAACAACTAGTTATTAAACTTGCTGCTAGAGTGTATTATTCAATGTGTAAAAAAGCAGCAAATGGATCACATTTTAAAATATCTTGGCAATTGGATTTCAGTATAATTGGTTTCCTTTCTAATCCCATATTTGACTCAAAATGTAGACCAGAGAAGAAAGAAAAATATGAACAAATAATTGCATTATTTCTTCAAAATAGAGTATATTATTCAATGTGTAAAAAAGCAGCAAATGGATCATATTTTAAAATATTTTGGTAATTGGATTTCAATATAATTGGTTTCCTTTCTAATCCCATATTTGACTCAAAATGTAGACCAGAGAAGAAAGAAAACTATGAAGAAATAATTGTAGTGGAAGCTGGTGTAGGCTCCAAAGAAGAGCCGTGTAAGGTGACATCATCATCACAGAGTGGGGAGGGAGGCTCTTGGCTCTGCCCAGGGTACGTGGGTGGGTGAGGGAGGAAACCATGTGTGGGCAGAAACTTACCATGTGAGGGTGTTTGCCAATAAGCCAGGGGTGCAGGGAGATCCCATGGCTCTGGCAGCTGGTGGCAGGTCGGAAAGGTGCCACTGGGGCAGGCCATTCGGGCAGGCACCAGCACGGACTACATCGATGGTCAGACAAGGCAGCACACCAGCGCCCTGTTCTGCTGACAAGCCTGGGCTCTATCTCTGGAATATTTACCCTCTGTCTGACAAGGGGTGGCTTGATAATCCAAGCTGCAGGCTCAGTGACAGGAAATGCTGCAGTAAGAGTGTGCAAGAGGACTAGATTATACCCTTTGCCAGAGCTAGTCAGTACTTAGAGGCTTGACAGCTGAAACACTGTGCAGGGGGCACAGAACAATGATAACAGCTCAGCAAGGCCTTCTGTTATATGCTACTGCCAATGTGACCCCAAATTTCCAAATGCAGCTTTTAGGAAAAGAGCCCTGCGTGCCTCGTGGGGGTCACAGTGACAGCAAGGACACAGGAGAGTGCTGAGGTCAACTGGAGGCCTCAGAGTCCTCAAAATCCTTGGTGTCCTCCCTCTTCCAGCTGAAAGACCATGACAGGGAGGGTGCCTGCTAGAGACCAACTGGGGAAGACCCTTTATTTTGGAGAGGCCAGCCAGGAAGGCGAGCCTGGGTACCCACACTCCTAGCATCCTTTTCCAGGGTGGGGAAGGGACAGGGACGACTGGATGGGGGTGGTAGTCCTGGTGTGGTACCAGCAGTCACTGCACAGTAGGAGTGGAGGTGCCATCCCACCCACACCTCTGCAGAGCACCTTGTAGTCACATTCAAAGGCCATCTCCCTAGACCTCCCCTGGAAGGTTCTGGCAGCCCCCAAGAAGGCCCCATTTCTCCACTCACTGTGCCAACCTCTCTCTAGGGTTAGCCCGGACACCCTACCCACAGCTACACATGAAGAGCAACAGGCCAGCTCTTTCCGAAGCCAGTTCCTTCCTCCACTGCTTACGTGGTCCCCACTGGGATGATCCGGAAAGTGCCCCGGCCCACCACATGCATGTGTTCCTTGCACACTGCCACTGCGGGCAGAAGCCGAGGACCAGCGTCTCTCCCCACGCCTGCCTGGCCTACCTTTGAAGCTGGGTGTTGCTTGCGTCACGTGAGCTGCCACAGGGAGTCTCTTTCCCATGCGGGACTCAGACACTGTCTGCTCAGTCACCAGGCTCACCTGGAGAGGATGTTGGCATTCTGGGCGGGGAAATGTAGAGAATCTTTATAAAACATGACCTCAGTGTCCAAACACTCGGCATTTCTGGGGAAAGATGAAGACAAATCGGTCAATATGATGGATACTTTGATATGCTTGACATTAAAATAGGAGGGGAGTCAGTGGGCGAGACGTGAAGCAAGGTTGGGCTCATTTTGGTGTCTTGCATGTGTGTGTGAAACGTTCCACGATAAGACACAAAACAACCGCAGCAACGAAGAGAGAGAGACCAGGTCACTCTGGCGGGCCTGGGCAATGATGCTTGTTGAGAGGGGGAACAGGGAGAGCAGCTTTTTGGAAGTTTCATTTAATTCTCTCCCACCCCCTTGGTACAAATTAGGAAACAGGCTAGAGAGATTTGGGATTCTTGAAGGTCATGAAGCCAGAAGTGTGGGCTCCAGGACATCTGTGCCTTGTCTCCTCTCTGTCCTGGGCTGCCCTCCACCATGTTCAGAGCTCGTGGCTCTAACAGCCAGTCCCGCTTCTGCTGCTGGTCCCCTCCCGCATGTTCCTGAGGTGGCCCCAGGCCTGTCTAGACACTGGCCCTGGAGGGCATTCTCCTGCAGGGACCGGCTCCTTGGCAGAAAGATCTGTCAGAAAGCGCTCAGAGCAGGCAGAAATCCACTTTCTCATCTAATTTCCACCATTCTGTCCTCCTTCTGCCCTTCATAACCCCACAGGGTAATCCTTCTTCCCTGGACAGCTTTGCAAATATTTGGGTTCTGCCGTCTGGGCTCCCACATCGATTTTCCAGGCTGAAGCTCCAGCATGTCAGCTTCCCTCCCACACCATGCTGGTGGCTGCCTCAGACACCAGCCAAGGGCATGATATTCTAGTTGTGCCTGACTGGTGAGGAATAAAGCAGAGTCCCTCCATCTGGGCGACACTTGTATTTATAGAGCCTGAGTATGTACCCTTCCTCAGGGTATGGGATGCAGTGAAATCAGCCCTGCCCTAATCCCTTTCTGCTACGGTTTAATTCAAATGGGATGTGGAACATGGATTCATGGACTCCTACAGTTGGAAAAGACATCTCCTCCACGCTGTTTCCCGGAATAGTCGCCAGGACTGAACGCGGAGCACACAGCGCTGCAGCTTTACTGCCCATTCTCTCCCGTGCTCCCGAAACTCTGGCCACCCCATGGCCGCCCTGTCCTCACGCTGGGGAGGGCAGGGAGCTGAGGCCCCAGACTACTTCGGAAGAGTCAGAGCCAAGAGCGAAGTGGAGTCTACCAGACTCTAGGCCCAAACCCCTCAGTGGTGAGTCATGACCGCTATGCAGCAGAGGGAGAAGGGGCAAGCTCCACGCCTACCCCCCTTGACACCAGCTTTGCCATCCATCCTTGTTACGCCCAAGCCCTGTTCTCAGAGCCCTGACAGGGAGCTCTGTAGCTCAGGGGCCTTTGATCATTTAGGAACTGCTTCATTTGTAAGCTCAGGCTCTCAGTAGCTAGTGGCAGCAGGGCCCCACCCCTGCCTCCAAGGGCCATCTGTAGCCCAGAGAGCTATCACCTGGCCTGCCAGGGGCTCTGCACATTAGGGGGAATCCTGGCTGGTTCTGTCAGGTACTATGTCCCTTTCTTGGGACTGGCCTGAGGACCTGCCTTGTCACTGCATGAGCCCATCATTCCCCCTCTGGGCAGAAGGGAGGTGGCTTGGATGGAGCAACACCACCTTTGAGAGTCCTCAGCTCCTCTAACCCACCAGACAGTAACAAATATGTCTCACCAGGGGCTGTATTGGGGGATGCTCTGCCATCTACAGTGGAAATGGACAAACATTCAGCAAAGTATTGGCATGGGAGTGCAGAAACATCAGACTGGAAGAGGTGCCTGCCCACCTCATTCTGGGAAAACAGGAGAGGCCTGGATTGGAATGTTCTAGATGTGCCGGACTGGTGTTCCTCACCCATTCGGCAGCCAGTGTCCTGGGTGCCTGCATGCTTTGCCCACTGGTCAGATCTCCAGGGGAGCTGGCTCCAGGGCCTGGGGGTGCAGAAACCTTGGGGATTTGGGGGATGCCTGGAAAGGGTCGGGTGTGTCCAGGCCCCCAGAAGGGGCAGCTGGTCCATTAAGAGGTTGTGAGGGAAGGAGTGGCAGGGCACGTCTTGGTCTTGGGGACCAGTGCTTGACCCAGCCGGGGCAGGGGACAGCCTCCAGGCTCTGCACTCGGGCCTGCTGGAGGGAGAAGGTAGGCAGTGGGGAGAAAACTCGGAAGGAAAAGCGGGGAAGGGAGAGGGAGGCGAGGGGGAGGGGAAGAGGGTTGGGAAGGTGAAAGAAGGGGAGGAAAAAGGGAGGGAAAGCGAGGCTGGGCGAGGGGAGGAGGGAGGTGAGCAGGCGGGGTGGGGGTGAGGAGGAGGGAGAAAGGGGAGGGACCAGGGAAGGGAAGAGCAGGAGGGGAGGCGGAGGGGGAAGAGGAGGAGGCGGGAAGGGAGGGAGCGGAGGAGGGGCCTGCGCGCCCGCCCCGCGCCCTCAGTCCCCGCGCCGGCCTCCGCGCCCTCGCGCGCCGCAGCATCCCCGCCGCCGAGCCTGCCTGCCGCCCCCTCCCCGCGCCGTCCGCCTCTGCCGTCGCCGCCATTCCTGGCGCCCGAGACGCGCTCCAGGTAAGCGGCAGGGCTGGCGCGGCAGGGAGGGCGACGGGGGCTGCAGGTGCTCGTGCGGGGTGGGGGCGGCTGGGGCCCTCCGCGGAGCCCCCTCTGCGCACCCGCGGCCCTACCGGGAGCCCCCTTCTGGGACTCCCCTCAGGACCCCTGGGACTCCTCCCTGGTCCCTCTCTGGACCTTCCCTGGAACGCCTCCGGGAGCCACCTACCCTGGCCTTTCCTCGGACGCCCTGGACTCCTCCCCATCCCTCCCGACCTCCTCGCCTTCCCGGTTCGTGCAGGTGGCTCCTCTGGACGCGGGGGTGTGGGGCGCGCAGCAGGCGCGGCCGGGAGGCGGCGGCGCACTCGGCCAGGCCCCGCCGCGCCCGGCCCGCCCGGTCAGGCTCCGCTAGGTCAGGCCCGGCTAGGTCAGGCCCGGCTCCGGCCAGCCCGCTGCGGCAGGGCCCCGCCGGCTTCTATTTTGGGCGCGGAGGCAGCTGCCCCCGTGCGCTGGACCTGGCGCGGCGCACTCAGACAGGTGGGGCAGGTCGGGCCACAGCAGTCAGGTCGTCGGTCGCCTTGGCTGTGAGTACTACAGTCCTCAGTTTCCTGTAGGGTTTTGGCTGCATCATTCTAGAACAGCCCAGGAGAAGCACAAGCCTTAGCCTGGGCTGCACCTGTTGCAGCCGCCTGGTGAGCTGCAAGGGGCTGGACTACTGGGGCTTTGCCAATAAAAACATGTAAAGGGGAGTTGAATTCGCGGTTGTCCTTTTTGTTTATTTGACTTAGTATTTTGGGGAGTGGGTGGGTGGGTGGGTGAATGGGAGTCTGTAGGTGGGCAGTTCGCTTCAAGTGAGGCCTGTTGTCGAGGGCTGCGGGCCCGGCCCTGCATTTTGGGGCGTTTGCCACATGAAGTTGCTCTGCTTCTGTTTTGAAAACCTGGCTGTGTTGAGCACATCCCAGGCTCCTGGGTGGCCAGGCCTCCGAAGGCCAAGCTGGACCTGGGGCCTGTGGCCAAGCGTCTCACCCTGCTGTCTTTTCAAATCCACCAGACGCCACTGAATGGAAGTTTCCTTTTCAGGGTACGAAGTGACACCTGTGGCCTGTCACCTTATATGTGTCCCAGGCCTGGGGCCTGCCTCCTGGCTGCCCAGGCAAGGTTACTTGGGAATGTTTACTATGTCCCAGAAATGGGTAGCTTTGGCTAGTGCAGGGGCAGGACTTTGGTAGAGATAATAATGCCCGATTGTCATTTTGACGGTTGGTGTCTGTGCATATCATGTCTTGGTGACTGTCTGCGGGAAGAAGAAAGACGCTTGCTCTGAGTACCCTGCCAGGCAGGATGGAATGGAAGGGTGTTGGACACACCAGTGTGTTTCTGTGGGCAAAGACTGCCTTTCCTGAAGGCCAGCCCTTTGGACTGATAAAAGTGTCTGGAGTACACAAAGCAAGCAAAATAAATAGAGAAATAAAATGCATCTCTGGCACCAGGGCAACCCTGGGGTCCCTCCCGCACGTGGTGTTGCAAGACCTCAAGCTGGCATGGGAGCCAGGGTTCGTTCTGCCTCCCTGTGATGGCCTTTTCTGTCTGTCTGCCCATCTGCACTGTGAAAAAAGCCACTGAGTTCCTCTGTCTCCCGACTCGTAACCAGCCCAGCCTCCTGACTAGCACACACAATCTGCTGAAAATGCAACCTTGCACAGACCCCTCCCTGAGTGGCTGGGGTCCTGCCCACCCTGGGCTGAGATTTGGGGCGCAAGGCCAGTGGCTATGTTGCACTAACTGTCCAGGGATCCTGGGGCCACGGAGATGTCCTTGGTGACATCATCCTCCTGTGGACAGTCCACTCAGAGACTGTCCGAGGTAGATGTTATCTGGAGCTGCCTTCCTCATGCCAGGCGGGTGTATCTAGGCAGATGCTTGGGAGTGCATGCTAATGGCCGCCTTTGAGTGAAGAGGGAGGGAACATCTATCTGCTGGTGCCAGTACATCAGCAAAATCAATAATGCATTGCTAAGATCAATGGTTTTCTCCATCTTCTGTGCTTCTGGAGGGAGCCTGCTGAGGCCTCTTGCCTCTCCCTCTGGGTTCCATTTCTGGTGCGGAGGGAGGCATGAGTGGGTCCAGGAGAGAGGCAGCAGACTCCCCTCCTGACTCCCTGGAGCCAGAGCTCCTGAGGCTGGAGCTGGGACACGTGTCCTCTCCCCCTCTGTCTCCGGAGTGTCCCCACTGTCCCTGAATTAGGCCTGCCTAGCCACTGCTAGCTTTGGAAGGGAGTTCTTTTCCTGATTGTTTTGCAATTTACAGGGACCTCCCTGCTGCATGTTAAGAATTTGCTTGCTTAAAAGAACTTTTGGGGAATATATATAGAAAAAATTAGCTGGGCATGGTGTCACATGCCTGTAGTCCCAGCTATTCGGGAGGCTGAGGCAGGAGGATCGCTTGAGCCCAGGAGATTGAGGTTGCTATGAGCTAGGCTGATGCCACGGCACTCACTCTAGCCTGGGCAACAAAGCCAGACTCTGTGTCAAAAAAAAAAAAAAAAAAAAACTCCTGGGAAGGTGCAGTGGCTCAGGAAAACTGGGGCTTCCTGTATGCCCAGGTCCCCAGTTCACAGGCTCTTCTGGGAATGACAGTGGTGGCCTGTTAGCCATCCAGGCATGAGGGTGCCCATGGGGGTGAAGCTGGCTGAGTAAATATGTAGAAATGACTGTGTCATCGGCTAACTGTCAAGGGTGTTTCTGGGAGAAAGACTGCCTGCAGTTTCCTACTGGAGCAGTTTTAGAAGGGAAGTGGCAGAGGCCCCGGGGAGGCTTCCCTTTGGCCCTGTCCGCCCTATGCTTGGGGGTGTACCTCCTGCAGCTCCCACCGTGCCATCCCCATCCAGGGCCTGGGGCTGTCCCCAGAGAGCTGGGCCGGTGGGGGAGGGCTGGGTCCCCTATGTGCCACGGAGGAGTGTGCTAGGGACTCGGCATGACTCCTCCATTGAGAGGTGACGCAGGAAGGTGGAGATTTATTAGGAGGAAGTATCTGCTGATTCAGTCAGGTTGAATCACCGCCTTCCCTGGAACCTGGGGTGGGGCTTTTCAGCAGGCCAGTTAAAGTGATCTCTGGGGTAAGCAAATGGGCTGCTTTAATTCTCTACCCAGCTTGTCCGCCCCTCCCTGAGTGCATTGCATTTACCTGGAGGTGCTGCACCAGGGGCCACCAGCATCCTGCTGCTGCTCCCAAGGCACGGACAACAGTCTAAGGGTGCAGAACCCGACAGCCACCTTCCTACAGGGCCTGTGTGAGGCGGGGGCGGGGGGCGGTGCATGCGGGCCCTGTTATTTGGTCTAAAAGTCTCAGATGCTGCCCATGAAAGCGATCATTACCCCCCTCCCCTGGGTTTTACTGCGTGGCACCCTGAGATGGTGGGCTTTGGGCAAAGCCTGACCCAGACCTCCCAGTCAGAGCAGCATTTGATCCAACAATCAGTCTTCTCAGAATTATGCTATTTATGAGACAGTTGGACGTTTGTTGAGTAAATTATTTTAAAGAATTCCTTAATCACATCAATGGCGCTATGTTAAAGCGATCTTTGCCCTTTAGTGGTAGATGCTGTGTGTTCGCAGGTGAAGTGGCAAGATGTGTGGGAGCTCCCTCAGATCGGCGTGAGTGGGGGTGTGGGGGTGGGCAGGGGTTGGGATCGTGTGTGAGCGGACAGTTTGGGGCCCGGGTGAGAGTGCCTGGGTTCATTATTCTGTTCTGGCCACTTCTGTGTGCTTGAAATTCTCCATAATAGACATTTAATAATCGTCTAAGAACTCCAATTCTTCCCCCACACACGCTATTGGATCTGTTATCATGAAACAGCACAGAGGTTTATTTTAAAAGCTGTGCCGATATAGTAAGTGAAAACATCACTCCTTAGTGCAGAAAGTATAGAAAGGTCCCATTTACACACACACACACACACACACACACACACACACATGTAAGTGCTCATGCATGGGAACCCGTCTGGGTGGACACACGCCTCGGATCCCCCAGAGCCTTGCGGGGCCGCGCCAGTGGCGGGCGCAGCCCCATGGCGGCAGCAGGGAGGAGGGCGCGGGAGGGCAAGCGCAGGGAACCTGCACTTTTGCTCCCTCTTCTGTATGGTTTGTCTCTGTTACAAAGGAATTATTTTTGTAATTTTGAAGTTAATTTTTAAAAAGGGATCTCCATTAAGTAATATAATATCCTGAGGCATTTTAAATAGAATCTGATTAGAGAAAGTCTTGTTCCTAGACAATAACGAATGAATCGGCTCACATGAGGCGACCGCCAAGTCAATAGTTATTTTTTTATTTTTTTATTTTTTTTTGAGACAGAGTCTCGCTTGTTGCCCAGGCTAGAGTGAGTGCCGTGGCGTCAGCCTAGCTCACAGCAACCTCAAACTCCTGGGCTCAAGCAATCCTTCTGCCTCAGCCTCCCGAGTAGCTGGGACTACAGGCATGTGCCACCATGCCCGGCTAATTTTACATATATATATTAGTTGGCCAATTAATTTGTTTCTATTTATAGTAGAGACGGGGTCTTGCTCTTGCTCAGGCTGGTTTCGAACTCCTGACC